GCGAGGGTGCCCTCCCCGCCCACCCCTGACCCTTCCCTCCCCTCCTCTCCGCTCCCCAGGGAAGGCTGAGGGGAGGCACAACGCACACTTCCAGCTGCAGCACCCACGGATCACTTCCACCACAGCGGGAATACCCTCTTCTCCTCTCCTATGTTTAGTAGTTTAGGATTTCTCTGCTTGTCTCCCAGCGGAGGTGAATAACAAGCTCTTCTTTTGCTCTCCTCTCATTTTACAGCCATCTCTCTTCCCGTGAAAAACGACCTGAATAAAGGGGACACTAAGGTAAGGATGGGCCTTTAGCTGAAGGGGCAAGTGCAGATGTGATGTTTAACCTCCCTCTAGCTGGCTGGCTTTTGGCTGCCTCTGCTGAAATGACCTGTAGGAAGTGGCAAGGATTTGCATGAGATCCCTACAGCAGGATTCATCCACCCCCACTCCCTCCCTCCCAGGGTTTACCCTTTGTGCCTCTACTTCTGGGTACCTGGGCAGGAGGGAAGTCCCTCAGGATATACCAAAGGGACCAATCAAGCTTGTCTAGAGAGTGGTGAGGCTGGAGATGGAGGTTGGGTATAACCCTCTGCAGTCCTCCTACTTTCAGCTTTTCAAAGATCCCAACAGGAGGTGACTCAGGGGAGAGTGGGGGGAGATGTGATTCAGGAATGGGCATTGTTGGAACTGTGTGTGCTTGGGGGTGTATATACATCTGTGTTTGCATGTGTGTGATGTGTTACTTAAACATGCATATTCTTAAAAAAATAGGCAACTGGCTGCTCTCAGATTGCTAATCTGTCCTCAGCTACTACTCAGCCTGTCTGGGTGGCTATGAGCAGTGTGCAACTTGGCTGACCTCTCTAGCCTTCTTTTTTAGGCTTCTGAGCATACATATGTGTCATAGCTCTCTGCCATTCAAGGCTGCACTTCATGAGTGTGTGCATTCCCAGTGGGCTTTTGGCACCTTAATGCTTGGATAAGTGTGCTTGCCTGTGTTGATCTGTAACAGACACCCCCTCTACCCCCACTTCCTGATAATGCAATACCTCTAGTTTTTCAGATAAGCTGATCTCCTAACTGCTCAAATTAAGACTGCTACAGAAATTAATGTCCGGAAAGGAAACACCATCCCTTTCCCACCCCCTACTTCTTGAATATCTTTGTTTCCTATCTTCTAGCCACATAATGTTTTTCCCCAGGCAGCAGAGGAGGAGAGCATGTTCATGTTGCTCTCAGCCACGGGCTCCATTGTACAGTGTCTCTGCTCGTTGTTACCTACAGGGCAAGTGCCATGAGAAATGCCTCCCTCTCTCCTGTCAGATGTGCCTGGGCCTGGAGACCTGTTGCTCTCTTAAGACTTTTAGCCTGCTTAGCCCTTGCTGGTGCTGAGCCATGAGCTGTGGGCCACGAGGTGCCTGATTCAGGCTGTGTGCTGCTAACTGAGAAAGGGGACTCAGGGCATGCGCTTGCCCCTTCAACTGATCATGCCAGTGTGGGATGCTCTTTGGGCATTTGGTGGGACAATCCATTAATTCTACAATTTTTCTTGTGAGTTCTATTCCCTGATATGTTCTATGAGGAAAATATGGCACTTTGCAGAAAGCCACATTTAGGTTTTTTGGAAGCTGGTGCAAGCCCAGGGAAATGCTTCCACCAAGGGAGGATTGTTTCCCAAGCCTCCTGGCTGGGTACTGCTCTGACACAGGCCCTACATAAGAGAAAAAAAATCAGACCGCAGCTTTCTCATGATTTTTGCTGCAACTGGAAGGAGCCTTTAGATGTTTTCCTAATGGCCCTCTGAGACAGAGCCTTTCAATGAAGGAAGTCCTGGTGTCATGGGACAGACTGTGACAGGGATATCGTCACATGGGTACAGCAGTGAGCACTGCAGCTCTTCCTACACACCATGCTGCTCTAGACATGCTCTGCACCACCAGAATTTGTGGGTGGCTCAAAGCTGTGAAATGGGTAGTCAGCATCTGAAGGTCTTTCCTGGACAGCTCATCAGAATTCCCTTACACCAAGGGCTTTCCACTGGGAGCTGAACACGACCTAAGCATTTACAATATATCTGGTGTTTGCCAAGCATAGATGAGCTCAAACATGGTGAAGTCTATCCTTGTAAGGACATGATCCTTTGGAGATTTCTCTGTAGGGACAGCGTGAGCAGTTCTTAAGGATCTAGTTACACACTCACAGTTAAAGGATAGCTATGGTAAAATTCCAGCCTGAGTTTCTGCACAGCATTAATTACATTTACTTGGAAAGGATCTCCTTAATTTCCTGATGCAGGCTGTTACTTCATGACCTTGTAAAGCCTCACTCTGCAAGACTTCCTCTTACAAAAAGTCAAGGAGAGTGCTGTGGAATGACTGCACTCATCATTTCATTATGTTACAAAGTTCCTCCTCAGAGCTGGTTGTATTTCTGTGGTGACTGATGTGTTCCTTTGTGTTCAGACAAAGACCTTAAATCAGCTTAGAAGTCTTCAAAAAGATTGTATGGAGTATTTCATTGGGCCAGGTGCTTATTTCTCATGCTGAGAAAGTCCTTACTTCTGAAGCTACATCAAATACTGCTGTAATAAGTGGCTTCAGAGATTGGGAAACGTGGGAGGGAAGTATCAGAAGCTGGGGTTTGTTGTATTTAATGATAGAGTGAAGTGACTGAAAGTAATCCAGAATCAATGTTAATGGATTGCTTGTGGTATAGAGGAATGATACCAGGGAAATTTCCCTGCTTGCTTTTTGTTAGATCTTTCCTGTTACATTTTTAATCCAGCAGGCAATCCTCTCAAACTGTGTAAGTAGTTAAGAAGAGTTCAGCATTTTATGACTGTGATCCGCAAAAGCAGAATTCTCTCCTTACGCAGGGTGAAAATTTGCCCATTCCAGCTAGTCAATCAATATATCCAATTGCTTGAATGTGCAACATTGTAGATGACTAGGAATTGCTGACTTGTGTTTAATTTCTACAGCAGCTGCGGTCTCTGCTCTCCTAAGAATGGCACCTCATGAAGGAGGTCGGGGTTCTTAGGACCGCCTGCAGAAATTATCACGAGAAAGAGGTTTAATGAGTGATTCCACTACCCCCCTACCCCCACCCCCAGCCCCCAAGGCTTACCTGCATCCTTTTTTTTCAATTTAGGCTGTCTTTTCCACAGGCAGTTGTGAGCCCTGCATTCTTTCTGGGCTACTTTATAAATAACCATTCTTTTGAACTGGGCAGCCTGATTCCTACTAACCGACACCAGACTGTAGTGAATGCTGCTTTCTCTCCTGTGTGACCACTTGGGTCTACCATGACCACACACCAGGGCTCCTGGCAGTGGGTGTCAGTGTGGCGAGGATGCCTTCGCCTCTGGCAGAGGTGCCACGTTGCCTTTGCATTTCTGGCTTTGATTCTCCTACCACACATACAACCCTGGGTGATGCCTGTGGGGTCAGCAGGGCTGTTGTCACATGGGTGAAGGGCTAGGCCTGCCATCTCAGTACAGGTGACAAACTAGATATATAATGCTTCTCGTTTTACACCAAATAAAAGGCTGCTGGAAAGGGCAGGCCCAGAGGTCATCCTGTCTGGGAAGCTGCTTCAAGCTGTTGTAAAAGCTTTGGAGGAAAACGTGGGAACTTCCTTGATTTCAAATGACCTGTCTCCATGTGCAGCTCTTCGAGTCTTATAGGTAGCCTGAACACTCAAACACAAGGTTAAACACCTCTCCAGAGTGTCCTTCTCTAGGGCTTGAGAGCAGTATTTCTCACCACTGCTTGAAGTACAATTTGTCTCATGTCACCCTCCACGCCTGGCTGCAGTCTAATCAGGGTGCCCTCCTCAGGGCTTGAATAGCTTGCAAGATTACAAGGTCACTTACAGAAGAGCTTGATCACTTGTTGCTCTCTATGACCTGCCACTGAGCCCTTTTATGAGCTATATTGACTTAAAAGAGGATGATTTGGGGCTCTTTATGTATATATCCAGATCTCCTATAATCTCCTGATGTGCCCACCCTCTGGATTGAGCTGGAGTTGTGACATCCTCAGCTGAAGTGTGCATCATGTTGAAAAAGCTCTTTCCGTTTCCATGTGTCATTTGCTCACTTCTCAGTTTTGGGAGGTACCTTCTGTTCCCGCGTTCGATAAAACAGGAACTGAACATTCAGTTCTGGCTCAGCCAGCAAAGCAAGATGTGTGCCGTCATCTGCTGTATTTCAGCCTTGGTACCAAATAGATTCAGGAAAGAAAGAAATTTAAAAAAGCAGTGCTTTAATTTATATTTTTGTCTCTTTCTAGGTGATGAAGTGCATTGTGGAGGTCATCTCTGACACTTTATCAAAGCCAAACCCCCTGCCAATCAGCGACGAATGCCTAGAAACACTCAGAGGAGGTACATGCTCCGATTTAGTGCTGGTTATCAGCAAGAGCAGAGCTGGCAGAGACACAAGCAGGGGCTGGTCCTGCTCTGACACATGTTCTAGCACCTGACAAGGGGTCCCCAACACACTCACTCTCCACATGGTCACCCCACTGGGCTGCACCAGCCCCCAGGGATGAAGCTGCTGCTGGGCCCCGGCCATGCATCGCACTGGTACCATGGCCAGGCGAGGCACTGGGTGACATGAGCTGCCTGGTTTTCATGGGACCTTCCTGTTGTCTTAATGACATGGTTAAGAGACGTGGCAGCAAATTAGGCCAGGGGACAGAAAAGAGTAATCAAAGAGGGAAGTGGCACCTGGGGTTCTTTTTTGTATCCTGGAGGTGGGAGGAGGTTGTCTTTGACCACTTTCTGTACCAAGTCTCCCCTGTTGCAGATGAACGAATCATTTCTATCCTTCGCCACCAAAATTTATTGAAGGAACTTCAGGAAATCGCTGCTCAAGGTACAGTGTCCCTACAGTTATTTGGGAAGAGGGGTTTCGTCTGTTGTAGCCTCTTGCACAGTTTTGTTGTTTGGGCTTTTTTGTATTTTACATTAATTTGACATCATATAAACGTGCCCTAGGAAATAGAGTTCCTGGACTTCCAGTAGAGACCGAGTGAGTGGGGGCAGGAATCTTGCTTATAACAACTCCAAAATGCATCCAATGATTTAAATGACTGTCAATGTAACTTGCTGGTGATGTACAGCATAGGCTTTTTGGGGTGGGAGAATCCTGAAAGGAAATTACTGTGATTTAATTCAACAAAAAATCACCAGCTCCCAAAAAAGAATGGAAGACAGGAGAACCTTCACTTTATATGCAGCTGGAGTCTAGCACAAAACCCATGTGTTGCAGAAGGTAAGCCTTACCAAGCATCAGGTGGGACTTGTAGCTGAAAGACCTCAGTGAAAGCATCCTTGAGCTAATGGCAATTTTCCTGTTGCTTTCCTTAGGCTGAATGCAAGTTTCTTTGGTTTGGAGAGGTGCAGGCTGCTCACTGCGGGTCAGTGTGGGAGCAGCAGCAGCACAGAGCTGTGCAAAGGGGTGTGCATGGGGGAAAAGTGTGATTCTCAGGTGCCCTGGTCCCCAGAGCCGCTCTGCAGGTCCAAGGCAAGGCTACTTCAAAGCCAATGCAGGTCGTTCTGCCCGGGTGGCCCGGTTGAGACTACAGCAGGGCTCTCCCGAGGCTGCAGGGAGATCAGTTCCCAGCCTTCCCTTCTCCTTCTCCCTGGGGTAAGCCAGCCAGCAGTCCTCCCACAGCAGGGCATCCCTCTGCCTGCTCCTGTGTGACATGTCTGCCAAGGATGGATGGGAGACAGTGCCACCAGACTGCTTTCAGAGCAGGGAAGCCACAGAGACCACAGGGAGAAGGGAAAGGGAAAATTCAGGAAGTCAAGATTAGGAGAGAGCTCCATGCAGCTCCCAAAGCAAGAGTTTGGTCACTGCCCAAATGTCACTGATGGAGGGGCCAGCCAGGCAGTGATCCCAGAGAAGCTCCACAGATGATCCAGAAGAACGAAACTTGAAGCTCCTCAGTGTGCTGGGATGCGGCTGCCTAGGCAAGCCAGAGTTGGGATGGGGAGTGCTCAGCTGTCAGACAGGCTGTGCCCTACTCCAGCGTGGAGTCCACATGAAGGGACCCATTTCACAGAGATGCATCTTGCTCCGTTCCTTCCTTGCCTTGAGCCTGTCACACTGTTTTGTCCTGGGGTAACATGAGTTCTGCTCTACAAATCACAGGCACTGGGGATGGGAGAGTCACATAGCCCAAGGGAAAGGCAAAAGTGTTTACTGGGGGCCCTCTGTGCTGGCTGCAGCTGGTCTTGGTCCAGGTGGAGAGCTCCTACCGTCCAGCTCCGTCCCTTGTAGGGATGGAGAAGACCTGGCTGGCAGTGTTGGCTCTTGCCTTTGCATGAAGGCATAGAAGCATGGTGTGAGCTGGGTTAGTCAGAGCTCAGTTGGTTGCCAATCCCGTTGGGATAGGACTGCCTGGGGAGTGCTGGTTGCCAGGACAGCTGTGTTCTGACCTCCTGCTTGTGCTGCCTTCAGACACCTTCCTTCAGTGTGTTGCTTTTGTCAAGCTGGCTCTATAATCCCAGGGGCCAAGGTGTGGAGCCTTGGAACGCCGGACTATCCTCGGAGTGGAAGTGAATACTACTTCTCCCTCACAGGGAGCATCAGGAGAGCAGTGCCCTGGGGAGAGGGGCCCCCATGACCAGGCCAGAGAGCACAGGGTCTCTCAGGGCTCACCTCGACAGACATATGTGAGCAGCAGCTGGCAGGAGGCAATTTTTATCCTTCAGTACTCTGATGCTGAAGTCTTTTGTTGGCCTCAATATGCTGCAGTTCAGCCTCTCTTATTCCCTAGCTCTCCATCAACATTAATTTTCCTAGCAACCCTGCTTCTCTGTTTGTTTAAAGACTTTTTTCTTTACTGCAGATGATGTTTTTGATGGTGGCTTTGTTACTGCAGTTGATTCACATATTCTCTAGTCTCAATTCTGCTCATAGCTCCCCCTTGGCAGATTTGTCCATTTTAGAAAATACACATAGAATTATAAAGGGCACAGAACTATTCTCCTACCTCTTCTTTCTGAAACACAGGAGGGGCTGTTGTCTTTTCCTACTTTTTATTACTTGACATAGGTGCCAATGAGAGAACTCAGCAGCAGAAGAAAAACAGTGGTTTTGAAGATGAACTTTCTGAAGTCCTTGAAAGTCAGAACGACAAGAACAAGCAGAGAGGTCAGTGTCAGCCTCCCCCCAAGGAAATCCAGGTCAGGCTGTAAACAAGGATGTTCTTTCTAACAGCCTTGATATGTCCATCTGCTTCTCATTTAGGCATCTTCTTTGATGCTGCCATTGACACACACAAGCAACCCCGTGTTTGCTTTGCTCTTATTTACCAGCTTAAAACGTCATTTCTGAGCTGTAGTAACCAGTGACGGTCAAGTTACTAAACTGACACTGATCTTTTCCACCCTGCGGTGAACGCCATCACTCGCTCCTAAGGCTTAAAATGAGTCACAGCCAGGGAAATCCCTTCCTGAAAGACTCAGTGGTGTAGGCAAGAGCAATCTGGGTCTGCTCCTGCCACCCTTGTTTCCAGGCATCCAAGATAGTAGGTTACAGGTGTGTGAAGGGAACATTGAATCTGGGATACACACAGTCCCCATACAAAACACCTGCATCCTGGGAAGACCACATTCGGCTGGGATTTCCCTCGTCACTAGGTTTCTATGGCCTGGTTAGAGTCAGGCAGTGCAGCAGAAAGGAGGGTTTGGCCCCTTCGCTTTTCCACATCAGGAAGACACAATGCCAATGTGGGGTGAGATGCTTTCTCATCCAGCAGCAGCACCCTGCAGAGGGACTCTCATGGGCCCTGGGGCATGTGGCTGAGCCATGGCAGCGCGGTGATGCCGCAGCGTCAGTCTGAAGCTGCCCAAAACAATGAGGAGCAATACCCCTGGGGCTGCTGCTGAAGCCAGCGGGGCCAAAAGCCAACAGAGGAAGGGTGGCTCTGGCTCTCCCTACCACTAAGGGAGACCCAACCCTCTTGCTCCAGCAGCGTGGAGACTGCATGAGGATGAAGTAGAGCATGTTGGGCTATTCGAGTCTGTCGGCAGCCCAGTAACACCAGTGCAGTGCCTCCCTGGCCGGCATGCAGCCTGGCGTGACCTGCTCTCTGCATCCCCTCACTCCAGCACGCTCCTCAGCCCTGCTTCGGGCTGCCCTCGCCTTTCCATACCCATCTGGCTTTTCCCACCGCTCTTTAGTCCCCTCCTCCTCATCTTTCCTTTTTAAAGTGATTTCTATGGCTAATTATGTTAAAAGATGCTGGTCTCTGCATGAGCAAGAGCAAATACCCAGCCCATATTTAGCTCCTGCTGAGTAGCTGTTTGCAGAAGCAGAGCTTGCCCCCCGGCCCTGCTCACCCCCAGACAGTGCTGGCTCCCTCTTCAACCCGGTGGGAGAAATAAGGATGCAATGTCAGCATAGCACCTGGAGCAGGGAGAGCTCTGCAACAGCCGTATGATGCTCCTAAACTCTTTCGTTTTCTGTGCGAGCTGGTTTCACATGGGACATTTGTTACTGGCATCTCAAAACGGTGATGAGGACTGTGCCACAGCAAAACACTTTGGCACACATCTACCTTCAGCCTGGCGAGTCTTTCCAGGACAGCAGGCACCAGGGAGGTCACTGGCTTGCTTCAACACAAGCATATGTTGAAGTGACCTGTGAAAGTATCCCTGGGCTGGTTAAGCAGATTGCCGAGTGGGGCTGAAGCTCCCCAAGAACAGCATGAGCTTGGCTGGTTGTGAAATGAGCTCTCAGGAGAGGTGATGCTTCTTGCTCCTCCCTCTGCAGATGCCGCAGGGGAGCGCCCTGATGAGGAGCAGCCCACAGGGTCCCTGGTTGACCTGGCGGCACAGAAAACCCAGCAAAAGGAAGATTCAAGGGAGGAGGGGAAAAACAGCCTGGAGGGAAGGGAGCCCAGGCCACAGGATGCTGACTCTGGAGAGAAGGAGGACGAGGAGGAAAGGGAGAGCAATGAGATCGGAGTAGCAGAGGATGCCTGGCGAGACAAAGCTTTGGACAACCACATCAGCAAAGACTTCATCGAAGGTGAGCGGCAGCAGCAAGTGGATGAAGAGGAGCAGCCCAGAGGCCCCAGGGACAGCCTGGAGCTCGAGGATGAGGGAGAGCAGCCATCGAGACAGGGCCAGGAGCACAGTAAGGAGGCAGCAGGAGAGCGTGTGGAGCGGGAGGATGACAGAGGAGATGAAGCTGCAGAGGAGGACCCTACCGAAGCAGAGAGGTCACTTGATTTGGCTGAGGAGGACGAGGAGGCTGAGGAGATGCAGGGAGACGACAGTAAGTACCCCAGACGACTGCACAGATACCTACCTGGGGTGAGCTGAGAGCACTGGGACAGACGGATAAGAGGCTTTAAAGCCTAAAAGTTCAGGCAGGTGCTTACTGGGTTTACAGCAACACTCTTGCCAACAGCCACCCAGATGCCCCCACAACCACCTGACCATGTGGGCGCACGCAGAGTGGGAAACACAGGCCCAGCAGCTACCCTGCTGCGGACTGCTCGGTTTTCATAGTACCTGGAGGCAACTAATTTCTTGATCTTCCTACGTGCTTTTTTGACTGCTGCCTCCAAGCCCTGTTACTGACAGGGTGACGTGAGAATGGGTATTTCTAGAATCCTGGGGAAATGGGCATAAGTCAGGAAACCCACCTTTCATCACCTCTGAAAGCTCACTTTGGAGGTAGAGCATAACCAGGTTAACACTTGGACTCACTGTTGTGTTTAATGGTCTTTCAGATAATGACGATGCTCTGGGATTTGGCAAAGATGCGCAAAGTTCTGAGGAGGAGGAGGAGGAGGAGGAGGAGGAAGAAGAGCAGCCCCGGGCACTGAGAGGAGGAAGGCATCAGCTGGAGAATGAGGGGATGCAGGAGGACACTTTCCAGGCCAGGGTTGCCAAAAGCGAGGAGGTGGAGGAGGAGTCCTCCAGGGAGTGGGAACCTTCCAAGAGGTGGAACAAAATGGATGAGCTGGCCAAGCAGCTGACATCAAAGAAGCGCATGGAGGAAAACGAAAGTGGGGAAGACCCAGACAGGTCCATGAAAATGGCATTCAGGTCCCGCAAGTATGACTTCAGTAGTCCAGAGGAAGATGTGAGAAGGTCATGGAAGCATCACTCAAAGGAAGACAGCAGTGAAGGCTTCCCGCTTGCTCCCATGCCTGAAGAAAAGAAGGACGAGGAAGGCAGCGCTAACAGGAGAACGGAGGTTGGTGTACATAGGCTTAAGAATAAATCCTGTCCTGCTATTACTTGGGAAGCCAAAGTATGCTTGGAGATGGAGATTCTATGATTCTATGTGGATGGCACCTTGGCATTATGCAGCCAGCAGCGGTTCTCTGTGACATTAAGGACATGCTTGGCGACCCTTTATTTGGCCCTAGGTGTTACTGAGATTTGCATCTGGCTGCCTTTGCATTTACTTGTTTTAGCGACTACTGCAAAAACATCCCCTGCCCCCAAGAGTCTTAAAAATGAGACAGGACCTTGACGTTGGTCTGTGCTGGACATGGTGACCAGAGCTATATCCGAAGCCTGGGCGTGAATCTTGTGTCCCAAAGCCCCTCCGAGTCAAAGGGAAGGCATTCCTTGGTTCAGGGACAGAGTGAGTAGTGTCAGACCTTCCACAGAGGTAAACCAGGGGGGCAGCCGTGGTGAGAGCTATGGGGTTGGAGTGGAAATGGTTGACAGAGGTGTGGATACAGCTGAATCAGGCCCCCAAAGTCAGAGGCCTCCTTCCCTGATACCTCACGTGATGCTGTGTGGGAGCTTAGCACTTCCCAGGCAGTCAGGAGCAATGGTTTTGCCTTTGTGCTGAGGCCCCGCTCCAGGCTTTGATGTTTATTTGGGATAGCTCTCTGGGTTTTTGCTCCGGGACAAATCACAATCGGTTGCCTGGGAGCAGGCTGGGGCAGCGGGTGAGTGAAGGCAGTTTGCTGCAGCTCTGTTACCTCCAGAACACCACCCCTCTTGCCTTAGTTACACACCAAAACGTTGCCCACCAGCATCCCCTGCTGATGGGGCATCTCCAGTCATGTGGGTTCAAAACAAAGCCAAATGTCTCGGCTCTGAGCAGGGAGGCAGTGGGCCTGCCCCAGCTGCATCCTCACCACTGCCCAGGTCTCTCCCCCAGGAAGGCTGCTGCCCACCCACCCCTCTCAGCAGCTCCGGGGTGCGCCTCAAGGCAGTGGGCTCAGCGTCTGAGCGAGGAGTGGGAAGGAGTTTGGTGAGGCTGTGAAACGGCCATGTTTACAGCTGCAATAAGACTTTTTGGGGTGTTTTCTTTAAAAACTAGATCAGGGCCTCTGGTAGACAGTGAGGAGGTGTCAGACCGGGCACCTGGCAGTGAGGGAGGGGAAGGCACAGGCTCTGGCTCTGCCACAACAGCTGCCACCCCGTCGCCTCTCCCAGCTCTGGGGACATGTGGCCGTGTGGCTTGGCCAGCGTGGGCAGAGAAAGCACTTAGTTTGCTCCTGCAGAGCCTGCTGCTGTGCTGGGCGAGCAGAAACAGAAAACCCTCTTCCAGTACTGGGGCACGTGTGGACACTCAGCACAGCATGGGGAGCAGGGACACCACCGTCACCTTCCTGAGCGGGTCACATGCTGCACTTGCTGTAGGCACCCAGTGTCATTTGGCAGCAGCCACGCCAGCACCAGGTCCCCAGCAGCTACCTTCCTCCAGCCCCACGCACTGGAGGGGAGAGACAGACCCACTGGGGGCTGCGCTGCCTGGCAGTGGGGCTGGGGAAGGCCGGTGGCTGCGTGTCTTGTCCTCATCACCAGCAATTTAACATTAAGACAGGACTAATTAGTGTTGCACACAAGCCTCTGTCCAGAGGTGCAAATGCAGAAATGGGCTGAGGGGAGGGGGTGAGATGTAGCTGTGCCCATCCCACGCTGACAGCTACCCCCAGGCAAGGTTTGCTGTAGGTCTGGGGTGGGTGAGGGCTGCCCACGCAGAGCCGCTGACACATCCTGGGCTTTCGTTGCAGGACCAGGAGCTGGAGAGCCTGGCCGCCATCGAGGCTGAGCTGGAGCGCGTCGCACACAAGCTGCACGAGCTGAGGCGAGGCTGAGGGCCCCAGCTGGCGACGCGCAGGCAAAAGCCGACGCCCTCCTTCCTCCCCACCGCATTTTCATTTCCCGATTTAAAATCAATGACGCTGGAGCAGAAGCATTGTGCCTAGGAAGCCGACCTCGCTAGCACCCAGGCCTGCCTCCCTCCCCATAGTGTCGTGCCCATCGCCGCTTCTACACCTCACGCTGCCCTGTCCACACAGATGCTCGCCCACCCGCCCAGCTGGGTGCCAGTGGGCACGAAGCGCAACCTACATGTGTATTTTCTGTCCGGGTGGGGGTTTTTTCCCTCTTTTTTTAAAAAGACAAGACAGCTTTCTAGAAAGGTCTCCTTTCACTGGTAGTTTCACTGGGTAAAAACTGCAATAACTTGTTATCTTTCGATTAAAAGCTGACAACTCTGACTGTAATATATTCTATATAATAAATTTATCTAAGGAAAAATAAAACTGCAGTGGGTTCCTTCCTTTGCTTTGGCAGCTTCAGACTCGGTCGTCAGCACACTGCAGGGCTGGCGCGGCTCTGGCGAGAGGAGGGGAATGGAGGCCTCCCCTCCACAGACACATCGTGATGGTCTTTCCCTCCTCACCCAGGCTCCCATGCTGCTGCCCGCTGAGGCCCAGCATTGAGGATGCCTCCCTGGGGTCCTGAGCATGGCAGGGCTCTCCCTACCCACCTGGGCCCAGCGGTGCTGTACAGCCCGGCCCCGGGTGTCCCGGTGCTTCAGTGGGTCACCGCCGGAGTTCATCGATGAACGTGGGGCTGACCAGAGAGAAACCTGTTTGGAGGTTGAAGCACTGGGGCAACACCCAAGTAGGTTAAAGAAAAGAAGTAACGGATAGGCTAGTGATGAGGAAATCTAAGGGTCTGCGTTCCCCAGAGGTGAAGGCTGGTCCTGAGGGGACGCCCCCCAGCGTGTCAGCTGGCATGGCGCTGACAGCCAGGACTTTCCCTGTCCTTCGGCTGGATGCCAGCTGTGGGACCAGGTGGTGCCTGGGCTGGGGAAGCTTGCCCCAAAAGTCTCTGACCACCAATCCTAACATTTTAGACTTTTCATGTGTATTGGCAGGAGGGGAAAAGAGCATCCCACTGCCAGGGCTGTAACCCACCTCCTGGCTCGAAACGTGGTTGTGTCCCATCCCCTACAGCCCACAGAGCAACCGAGCCGCTCAGGGAATGGCTGGCTGCCAGGCTTTGAACTCAACTTATTCCTGTATCCTACTGAAAACAGCACCATTGGCACGGAGCGAGTTGCACTGGAGGCGGCTGTGCAGGCTCCCCTCGGTGCCGTCCCTCCTGCCCTGCGCCAGGACCTCTTTCCCGGGGAGGGCTGGGGCATCTGTTGAGGGGGGGCAGTGCCCCTCGCCCCCAGCCCTGGGTAGTGGCAGGAGGCGGCGGCGAGGCCAAGGCACAGCCCAGAAGCTGCCCCGGCACAAGGCACACGTCGAGACGAGGCGCAAGGCGAGAGCCTGGCTGGGTAAAGTGCACCGGCACGAGGTGCAAGTCTGCCAAGCCCACCCTGCGATGGCCCACGCATCAACCCCAGGGAACCGTGCATAGGAACAGAAGTGAAACCAAAGCTGTTCCACGGAAACAGTACTAAAATGCCAGCTGTCAGGGAGTTAATCCAGCTGTAAAAGTCACATTTTACATACTGATCTTCATGTAAATTGGAATTTGAATATTGTACTTCGCTTCTCCTTGGGGTTTTTGTGGCAGTCTCTGCCAGTAGCATCACCCACACAACCCCTTGCAAGCTCAAGTCTTCGTGTCACCATACATTCCCAGAAACCCTCAGCCACTCACCCCACCCCCGCAAAACAAAAAACCCAAACCAAAACCCCACCCAACCCCAAGAAACCAACCAACCAACCGTAGAAACGCAGCCATCGCCAAAGGGGTCGGAGAAGTTTTTCCGCAGAAGATGGCAGCTGCAGACAGAACTTGTCTGCTGAGGAAGCAAGAGGAAAAACGACGTCGCTTGATGGATCTACTGTACCTACTGTCCTAACCGGGTACTCAAGTAATCACACGCATCTGGGATGTGAGGACCTTCTTCAGAGGGGAAAGATGGAGTTCCCAGACTGAGCACTGGTCCCAGAGGGATGCCCCACGCGCTGGGAAATGCTGGCCCCCTGACTGGCTGTCCCTCTGCTCTACGGCATCTCCCCGCTCCCCGTTTGGCCTTGGGGCCGGCAGCGACGGCCGATCCCCAGGCAGCGGGCGCCCTCGCTGCGCAGGCTGGCTGCTGGGCGAAATGTGGTGCTGCTGGGCGAGACCTGCCCTTCCTGCACCAGCCAAAACAGGTCCCTGGTGAAAAATCCTGCCGGGTTTTGAGCAATAAAGAATTCCCTACCCACAATGATGAAGGAAGAATCAGCCCAGAAGCCTAAGCCAGGAATAAATTCTTACGTTCAGGAGCAGCCTGAATCCCAGAGATGTTCAGCTGCGTTACACAGTAAGAGAAAAATAGCCGATTTCCCACTCGTGTTAGAAGTCAAATCAAGTCCAATCTTGCTGGTACAAGGAGGTCCAAAGCAACTGCACCAGGGAAGGATGCGAAAACCAGATTCCCATGAAAACGGGTTTCCCCCATTGAGCCGCTGCCCTCTGCGCATAAAGAGAGAGAAAAACAGAACTTGTTATAAGGCATTTATTTTCATTACGTGTTGGAAAGGGACAATTCTGTCTTCGAAACAATTACAGAGATAATGCCACGATACCTACCGCATATTGCTTCACTGTCGAAACCAAAACATCGTGTGAAATAGGTGCTTGGCAAATGAAAACGAATCTATTACCACTGAAATCAACGCTGTTAGATGAAAGCACCATCTTCAGCGTCGGATCCGATCAGTCATGCAATTGAAGACAGATGCCAGATAGCAAGCATTTTTGGTTTTTACAGTAAGCCATGATCTTTTAAGGGTTTATATCGTTCTACACAAATTTAAGTACAAAACGGGAATTGTGTTTCAGAAATCATAGTGAACTGGGCCGAAACGACCCACAAGACACACTTAACACTCCACAGCTGGATCCGAACACAGGCATTGATGAACTTGCAAAACTCGGCACATAGACAAAACGGTCCCCAGGATTCAGACATGCTGAGGTGGGGAGCGACGCTGGAGAGTGAAGGAGAATATTCAGCACTACTCACACCCGGAGGGCCAGTTTCCTCAAAACTGTTGGGATCCCAAGGAACTGTTGTTACTCCATTTTAAGAACGACTGCATTTTAGTATGTGGTTCTCACAAGGGTATGTACAGGCTGTATCGAATACTGAATCAGAAATAAATAATAAAAGATACATCTAATACATCTTTTATTTTTAATATTTATTTTTTTTACAGCACTGACTTTACAAGCGGATAAACAACTCATTTTCAGGGGCTGCTAACATCTGAAACAAAGAAGTCACTAGTTTATACTCAACATATACTCAACCTTTTAATAACTTTATATATGTATATATGACTTTTCACACAAAAAAAAGTTAAAATAATTTATATCTGAAAACTACTGTGTAAAGAACGAAGGAGGAAATAAAATGTGTGTTTCCTTAAAAAGGATGGAAGAGGAAGACCTGATTTTCAGGAACTCCATCACTGTCTCAGCTATTTCTGGAGTTTCAAGAGACTTCCAGGCCATCAACAAAAACGTCCCAACAAATCAGGAGCCCCCCGCAAACTCACGGCACCCTGGGCAAGGTCACCTGCTAACAACAAGCTCGTGTGGCCCATGGGCATCTGCTAGCGTCAGCCCCACTGGATTCAGGAAAGGTGGAGAGAGAAAAGATCTTCCCAGACTGCTGTTAAAACCCTAAGAGTGAAATTCTGGACCACTGGTATCAGGATGCCCACTGGCCAGGATTCCACCCCCACGCCCAACCTTTCCTCACCCTCCTTCTGCACCTCAGGTACAGGATGTTTTCATACAGTGGGTTTTTTATTCCCACAGGAAAATTGCCCCACGGCCAGGGTGGACCAGACCCCGACGGGACCGGCACACACAAAGCGAGAACGATTCGGAGCCTTTGCTTGCTACAGAAGCTATTGTGCTTGTGTTGCTGAGGAATCGCATCTCCATTTATACCTGGATTCTCTCAAACTTCAACAATCTTTAATAATTTCTGTGGCCATGTAAACATGACAGAATCCATGGAGGATCCGAAACCCACAGTCAAAAGCTCAAGTGTTGATGGCCTGGATCCACACAGAATGAACAGGGAAAGGAAAGGCAGTAAAGATGCGGAAAATACTTTTCTGGAGGTTACATTCCTCTGAAATAGATATTAAAGCAATATTACAAATAAAATCAGCAATGTGATCTGCAACGGTGTGTCTGTTTATCTATGAAAGTGAGAGGAGATCTTATTAAAGGAAATACTTTAATCTACACAAAGCATTCTCACATACTCCTAATTACAAAACACACAGTTGCAACTCCGTAAAGTAACTGTATACTGAATACAGAAATCAATACACCTCTTACGAAAAAGGAGAGCGGAAAAGAACATTAGCAGGGTAATGCAAGTGAACTCCTGCAAGTGTGCACATGGCGAGACTGCTACAAACTCAGAGTAAGACCCTATTCACTAAAAATCCCAAATCCAAGGTTTTCTGCACGGCTGCAGAAGGCAAGGCTGCGAGCTGGTGTGAAAAAGCCTGACTCACTTGTCACTGCTGCCACGCAAAGACTTTGGGAAACCGGCGTTAGTCCAAGAACGGACACACCCCCATGGTTTTTGTTCGATGGAAACAACAGAAGCATTTTTCCCTTATTTCGCTCCTTTTTGCCAGCCAACTCAAACACCTCCGTTGCCTCTGGACTGTACCCTGACTGTAACCTACCCCCTTCTCCACCCGGTTGTTGCCTGGCTGGATAGAGCTCCAGTTCTCTGGAGAACTTGAGGCTTTATCTTGAGCAATCCTTGTTGCCTTGTGAAGCCTCAGGCTCGGGTTCTTAATTTCTACTCATCTGTGACAAAAACAAATTGAACTGGTGGTTTTCCACCTGAGCAACCTGCTGCAGACCTTCCCTGCACAGAGATTCACACGCGGAGGATGGGGATCTTTAAGCAGCTTTATCGTTCCGACGGTCGGAGCAGCATTAACAGGAACCGCACCTGCTGCCTACGGCCCAGCCCGGTCACGCGGCCCCTTCGGCAGCAGTGAGCCCTCCCAGTGAGGCCCCGTTCCCGCAGCTGGTTTTCACCTAACGGCGGGGATGTTCCGGTACAGGCGCTACAAACCCAAGCGTAACACGGCAAAGTCGGCTAGAGGGGGGGAGGCGGATGGCGACGGCTTTACACCGCGGGCAGGAATGACACCACTCAAGTTCTCTTCCATAGGGAAAAACCTTCACCTACGGAAGCCAATTACGTCATTGCGGTGGAAACCAGAGTGCCATCTCCTCCATCACGCCGACACAAAAAAACCTGGAGAAATTCCAGCCAAGCTAATGGTGTTCCTGCGGATTTCTAACAGCAAAGCAGAACAGAAATAGATCCCTAAGCAGCTAACTGGTGACCACGTAATTTAAATATAATTGCTCCCATCAACACAGCCATAATCGCTGTGGCTCCGAAAACACAGCAGAACCTTTTCTAACCTGCAATGACAGAATTCAAACTGACATTATGGAAAAATCTCCCTCAGATTGTCCGCAATTTTAAGAGCAAGGGCATTCTGGTATGGTCTAATATTCCTAGACTCCTCTACTTTTACAAAAAAAGACAAGACTACAGAATGCTAACTAACTTACTGCGAAGCTTATCTTTGATCAAAACCATCCTGGACTTATCAAACGAGGCAGAGATTCAGAAAAGCACTTTAGCACAGGCTTAATAGCATACGCACGCTCGAATGTCTTGCAACGACGTATGTCTGGACACTTGGCAATTTACATTCTTGGCTTTTAAAAGTTGGTCTCCCGATCTGCCCCCGTGATTTAGCAACACTCTAGTATACGAGCCGTAACAATAATTTCTGCAAGGAAATACAGTGGTACAGCAACTGCATGGTAATTTATGTGAAGACTCTATTGTAATGCCACATCACAACAGGTACCTGCATATCTGCACCTGGTAAGTTAAAGTGATACCGATACATTTGATAAATAAAAAATAAATTACAGGCTACGGGAAAAATGTCACCGATCACATCAGTGACCTAAACTTGTCTTCTACTTACTGCCAAGGTCTGGAGTAATATTTAAATATAGTATTTCTGCAAGCTTTCAGAGAATTACAAAATAAACTTCTAGCAATCATTTGTAAACAAGTTTAAAATGCACAATTATATTTCAGTAGTTTATTTTGGAGAAATAAAGCAGTGCAAAATAGGCCAACCAAAATTCAGAAGGCAGCCAGGAAAATAAAATTCTTAATTGATGTTCTAACTAGGAAACAGCATACAGACATTTCCATTGGATCCAACACTCAGATTCATGTAAACATACTTAGTTTGAAAGGTCTTGAGTTACTAACCCAGTTTTAACATCATTGCTTCTTCCCCACCACCCAATAAAAAAACCAAAAGCCAAAAAACCCAAAAAAAAACCCCAAGCCATTGTAATAAAGGGAGCAAAAGGCAAGTCTACAAACACTCCACCAGCTGGTTACAAGAAAGTACCATACAAAAATATGCACTGGCAAGTTCCTTCCTGAGGGTATCTTTGTTACACATGTAACATAAAACCACTTTTTATTTTAAACAAACAAAAATAAACCTTCAAGCTGTAGATGTCAATTTTCTTTCAGTCATGGCTTTACGAAAGGTTTGGTCTATCGTGAAGGCTTGTATAAACCCTTAGCTATGTACATCTGACTCACTCACACCGCGACCGCCTGCGAGCTGCAGGCAGCACGGGAGTCCCAAAGCACACAGGGGTTGCGAAGCGCACCCAGCTCAGAACTGCCCCGTTGGGGGTCAAGGAGGTCGGCTGCGTTTACATGCACCCTGGAATCTGACAGATACCACGCTCCTACGGTCCTTCCAGGCCCTACAGAAGTATCTTAAAGTCAGTAACCTCTCAAGAGGTTGAATAACCTCATATCATCCTCAAAAATCCAACCCCAGCTATAGGAAATTCCGAGAACAGCATCTGGGGAACAAACCCAAACAAAGGAACTGCTACATAACACTCCTCAAACTTTCTCCCCTGCGGGACCGGTGCCATGGGGCAGGGTGGTGACATCTTTTACACGGTTTACTCCCCTCCCCGCAGTCTACCTGGGCTTTAAGCTCTAGATCCTTTCCTTCTGAGTAGATACTTAAGACATGATATAACAAACTGGTGTTAAATGCTGCAGTGATGGATGCTTTACAAATACCTGCTACGGAAAGACAGAAATTCCCATATCTGCAAGCTAAGAGCTTAACTAAGGAAATTTTCTTAACACCACCCCTCTTATATGTATTTTAGGGCTTATATGGGGAAGGAAAGGCCACTCTGTCTACCAAAATAGTGTCTCCATTCTCAGCGCTGACAGACTTGGATATTTCCAGCTTAGTGTTCAGAACTGGCAAAAGCTGCAGGGATCCTCACCAGCAGCAGGTGCTGCCCTGCTAGAAGATGTGATGGAGGGCGAACACTGTGGGTTTACTGTGTACCTCAACAGATACAATTTGGCTGTGTTATAGTTTACAGATAGCATGAAGCACTATTGTAAATTACCACACGGCATCATCCGGCAGCTTGCAACAAAACAATGTGGTCTCCGAGCTAGAGCTGCCGTGTACTTCTATTTCATACCAAGGTACGCAACTCTCCTTATATTTCATTTGCAAAAGAAAAACAAAATGCACAGCAGCACGGATCCGTGGAGGCAGCGAGTGTTACCCCTCAGGATCCCCAGATCAGGTGCACTGCTCCAAGGAAAACACGTGGCTCTGTTTGCCAGAGCTGTCCCAGCCTCCTTACAAGCGCAAGGGAGAATCAAATTCTCTGCTAGGAAATGGGCTGCTTCCATTAACTCTTCTGGGATTTCACCACTAGCAGATGACTGAAAGGATGATGCTTGATCACTGAGCCTAACTATCGGCACCCCATCTGAATCACACGCGTTGCTGCTGGCCCGAGTGGTCAGAAGCTGCTTTTGACTGAAGCAATGAGGTTGGGGGAAGAACTGCGAAGCTGGAACCGGGGTGGTCGCCTTGGTTCTGCACTCTGAACAACCAGCCTGCTCTGTCCTACTCAGAGCGCCACGGCTTCAGAGCAAGCTACCCTGTCAACATCTTGACCGGTCAAAGTTTCAAGAGATTTGGTTTAGTGATGCTGAACTTGTCTTAGCTTTCTTTTGCAATGGCCTACCTGGAAAAAGGGAACAGGGAATATTTTAGGCAAAAATCTCTAGCACTGTTACATTCAGACACTGCATTTCAACATTATTAATCTTCTTGATACCATGAGGTCCGATTTTAAAATGCTGGTCACCAGTGATTACAAAGAACAATAGAAATGAAAGGGCAACCCTCCCACAATGAAAGGACTAGTGTTAAAACCCACGTGTGTGTAAACTCACTACAGATTTGCAACTGGAATCTGATGAAATGGATCTGAATCACTTTCTCACCCACCCCCTTTCAGTCCATTTCATCAGTGAATCAGGTTAAATCACATGGAAGGTTTTTTAATTTTGCTTTTTTGTTTTGTGTTGGTGTTTATTTTTTTCATTTTCCATAACTGTAGTTACAGCCTGATCTGGTTCTAAGACCACAATTTGTATCCCTGTGGCTTTTTTCTCAGTCCATGGCCTTGGCAAGTTATTGAGAAGAAGCTTTTGTTGCCAACGTAGCGACGCAGTGCTGCTGGAAGCTGGGGGACACTGCTGAGTTGCAGCCTAGTCTCTGGTGTTGCAGTTTTACTGAGCTGTTGGTCTCGCTTTCCACAATCCAGGAGGAGTCTTTTCCCATGACGCCGAGACAGCCTGCGCTAGCACAGCATATCCGCTCGTCCATGATCCCACTGGTCTGCTCTGCCAGCAGCTTGCTGCGGTTTAGCTGGGTCACCTCAGGTGCCTGACCCTGCAGGACAGCAGCTATATGGTTCAGGAGATCTGTGAAAAATTCGGAAACACCCTCGTAACCTGAAAAAAGGAAAGATCAAGGAGAGGAAAAAAGGCAGTTAAGTAATTTCCATGCATTCTCTGAAATGCTTCTTCTATGGGTTTATTTCTTGGGCTGTCCTTGTGCTCCAAGTTAAAATAAAAGGCTTCTTTTCCATGACATCATTTTGAGTGACTGCACAAGCAGATTAGCATAAGGAGGAACAGAGGCCTTTGCTACAAAAATACTTTTGTCCAATAAGAAAAACTGCCACCTTTCAGATTTTCTGTTTCTTTTTCCTCTTAAGTACGCGTGTGTACCCATAATTTTAGGCATATTCTATCATTTGTTGCCAAGTCCAGGTTCTTCCCTAAGTTACAACCTCTGTGGTATAATGTTGATCGTTCCCATCCTGTTTCCACGTTTACTATGGAAAGTAGCTCTAATGCAGTTTCCCCAAGGCCCTGGACTTGGCTCTGGCATTTGCCCAGCAATACCCTCAGTCAGGGAGAGCGGGGCTGGCGCTATGCCCTACAGAAAAGGCAGCTTCCCACTGTGTAAGAAGTAACGCGACGCTCGTCTAATCTAACCTGCCTTGACACCTAAAACGTGTTCCCTGCTATGAGCAACGTCTGAAAAATTGCTTGAGGGACAGTAAACATGTATCATGATTTGGGAGAAACCTCAATCTTCTGTGTCAGTACCGAAACCACCTTTCTGCGTGTTCTGCAAAGCAATTCCGATTTACAGCGCAGAGTTTAACTTGTTAAAACAGGTGCTCAAACACCAGGACACATGACATTTTTGGTGACACAAAGGGTGGCAGAAGGCGTACAGAGCTTCTGGCTCTATTTTCAACACTCTGGTCCAGGCACAGCTTTATCACTGCGTTCACTGTAAAACTGAACCAGACATGCAACATATGAGCACAATGTCTTGAAATGGACTGTAACTGCTCCTGCATTACCTAAAATTGTTATCAATTTGATTTACTATTTAGAGGTGACAGATGACATTCAGTGTATTTAAATGGGGTAGGCTGATTGTTTTAAAATGTCTATAAAAGTATTCTGAAGGTGACCTGGTAATATACAGGAGACTGAAGCAATAAATAACAGTTCAGAAGTCCCATGTGAATAGCACACATTCACTGAGCAGCACAAGAGCAGAACCAGAGACCACAAAGTAAATGCGCATTTTAAAACACTTTTAGTGATGTGATCACAGGGCAGAAGAGTCCCTCAGATCCATAAATAATTCAGTTTTGATCTCCATTGTCCTGTAGAGACCAACTTCCTGAAAACCATAAGGTAAGAAGATAATTTCACCTTAAGATAAACGTGGTGATTTTATGGTGTATTTATAATGGGTACATTAATCAATTAACTCCTATTTAGGCTACTACATTGCTTTGCATTTTACTGCATTTGGTCACAATTCTCCTAGACACTTAACAGGTCACCCAAAACACCCACAGTGTAAGACAACAGCTCCCAGTTTTCCTTTCTCAAAGGCCCCTAAACAGATTCAAACAAATCTGCCATTTCAAAACGCCGTTTCCCAGTTCCCCACGATAATTCACTGGTCGGCAGGGGGCAAGTAGGACTCTTATGGCTAGAACAAGATCTCCACCTCCTTGACAGAGATGCCTGTTACGCTTTCTTGCTTATGTAAAAGCCATGGGATTAGCCTTCAAATCTACTCAGTGCTTCAAACACCCTGGGAATAAGCCATCTCCATAGTAACAGCTTTAATATTCAGAGAGGAGACCCGTAGTACCCTGGAGTGTTCCGTGTCTGCTCTCTGAAAACAAAACAGCCTTGTTTGAGGGCACCTGGCAAACTTGCAAAGAAGTTGCTTTAAATATTTAATGGGAATAAGATGGGCAGTTATTCAGTCCTGAAAGCAGCAGATGTTACAGTGCAAGGAAGCTGTATGCATCGGGCAGGCTTCCTCTGTGCAAGCCCTCTGCACACTGGCTGCAAAGGCCCAAGTAATTCTGCCTGGCCACTCACAAGAAACTTCACACACTTGTAAAAAAGAAATACCAGGAAGGGAGGAAGAGAACCAGGGTGTCTCAACTCTTGAGACACAGGACGCCCGGGGAAGGCTGCAAACCGTGCATATGGCCTCGCTCTGTTCACTGGCCGCTGCAGGTCTCTCAAAAAAGGCAATTGTGGGAAATCACTGTGCCGTGATGGTAACAAAATCAAGAAGGGCAGATTAAACGACACCTTCAGAAAGTACTGGCAATGGATTTGGGGTTCGTGTCACACAAGGAATCAGTGGGAGGATATGTTTTGCATGCCTCAAAGCACAAGTTGCATGAATCGTGCTCCAGCAGGTACTACCCTGGCACTGCCCACTGAAACCACTTTGGAAATACCTGTCTACAAATGGCCTGGATTTTGCCATGTTGAAAACAGCCTCCAGAGTCCTGGAACATGGATAGGAAGGATGTCCAACCAGCAATGCATCTGAAAAAAAGTACCTGTCCCCCTGAGCTTTGTAGATTCAAGAAATGACTAAGAGCACCTCTAAGACAACATTAGAGATGCTACCTGCCTGATTTTTAGGAGACTCTCCCTGATCTGGCACTCTTTGCTTTTCTGCATCTTCCCCTGGGCAGCTCATGTCCTGCATTTGCGGCAGCATATTTACACACACAAAGTTCAGGTCTGATGCTTCCTGGTACCGCATATATGCACACAGCACATCAACACTAGTGACAAGCTGCAGAATGTGCACACAAGCTGCTGCTGGGGCTGGGTGAGCTCAGCCACGGCCGCAGGAGAGCAGGCGACACAGAGTCTTTGCTCTCACCTACCTGAGGTCAGACAAATATAAAACCCATATGCTACGTGACTGTGCCTACAGTTAAATATCTCAGCTGGTAACCACTGCTAAATATAGCCCTGGTGGTTTCCCACAGAACAGGAGGCACAATAGGGCTTTTAGACATTTATCTTTAAAATCTTTTTGAAGAGTTGCTGGTGCTACTGGAGCAGGGAACAGATGACATCCTCCTACAGCTACAACTGCTCTCAATTCTGATGATAAACTAATCTCAAGATGGCATCCATGGCGTGGCAGGTTCAAATGAGCTTCAAGCCTGGTAAACACTAGTTGTTCCCCAACCTGGACTTTTCAATGTTTCAAGAAAAGGGGAATATCAGTCTGTGCAAAGTACCAAATCCAAAACAACAGTTGAAAAAACCCAAACCACCAAACCAAAATGCAGGATTGCAAAAGAAGGTCCTGCCTCTCTGACTTCAAGACCCAGTGTCTGAAGTATAATTCAATTCATAAAACTGATGTGGCTCCATCTGACACCAAATTTAGGCTGTTTCACTGCTCTTGGCACTTCACACTTTTCATAGGCCTGCAGGTTCCATCACCACCATATGGTAGAACCAAGCTGCAGAGCGACCTGCAAATAGACAGGCTGGAGTTTTAAAAGGAAGCCAGTCACTGTGGAGACAGACAGACACCGGCAACTACAGGGCAGCAGGGGGATTGAGCACCTGAACTGAAAGATTAAGACGACTAGGGGGTCAGGGCAAGATCCCTACATGTAAAGATACTTCAGCCATATTGAAAATTGAAAGTCTTCAATGACAGGTTAACTGAGCTATGCAACAGCCTGTGTAGGTCTCTGGAAACAAGCACCACTATTCAGGTAATGAGAGGAGATTCTCAAAAACAAAACCCCATGCAAAACAGCATCAAATGAGGTGATGTATTTTTTTCCTGTGATAGGCTACTGAATTTAGCACAAGTGACAGATCATTATTGCCTCCCCTTATACATGCTTACAGCTCCTTTTAACAATTCCTGTGGTCAAGGAGCTTGTTTAGTTGTTTCCAAGACATATGTGGCACTAAAAAAGAGGTGGAGGACAAATTTGCCGATTTTCACATGCTCTTTTCTGTTGTTTTAATCCAGGATGCACTTAGGAGAACCGGCAAGGATATTTAACTTTTTAGAGCAACTTCTGTGCACCTATAATTTTATCAGCTTCTTCAGATTCTTGGTGTTGTTCCTTTTCTGCACAAATGTTTTTTTGTGGGGAATCAGTTTGCACAGGAAGAGGTTTTCAAGGGAACAGTTTGCTGCTTCCACCCCCTCAACACTTTTAATGGCACAGAGACTAGGAAAAAAGAAATCCTAAAAGGCTCTTCTAAAATAGAATTTATTATTCTTCTTTTCATTTTCAGAATGAGGGACAGGCCCAGAAAGGCCAGGTCCCAGAACACAGTGCCACATTTCAGTTCCTGGGCATCCCTTTACAGGGAAGGGCATGACAACCACATTACAGCTGGCCACTAAAATCTGACTGTACCTCCTAAGAGCTGGTGTTTCATAGCACATTCCACATGTAACTTAAGGTTCTGCCCTTCCCAGATTGAAGAGTATCTGATCTCAGAACAATCTGGCTGCTGCTCTCCTGTCCCCTGCCCAGGAAGCAGTGATGTGAGACACCAAGAGTGCAATTTCACACTAAGCACGCCCTGCAGAGTTTCCACTAAGCATGAGCAGAAGGGCCTTTCTCACCTGGAAATGCATTTATATCAATGACCGCATGCTGCCCCGTCTGATTGTTAATGATGATATCAATTCCAAAGAGGGAAACTCCCAGAGCTTGCCGCAGCGCCTTAGAGATTTCCCGGATGACATCGTCGTTTGGCCGCTCAAATACTCCTTCGATTTTATCCAGCTATAGTGGAAAAAGACACATTACTAAGGGACTCTGAAACAGTCTTTTTTAGTGGAAAGATTGATTTTCAGAGGTTTCCAGGTGCATATCCACCAAATCTAATTGCAGAGAACCGGTGGCATGAAACAGAGAAAGACACCAAAGAGGAACTGCTTTCATAATTCAGAATCCTTCCCATATTGGAAGTTCCCCTGTTCTACAGCACCTAGTTCTTCCTCTTCATACTGGTGCAGCTCCTTGAGAGACAGAACAGTGTAGGAATGAACGGAGACTCACTCACTATTTTAAGTACTAGATCTGCACCTTTAAAAACCAAATACAGCTGGCGTGTTTAACCCTGGATATCATTCTGTTATTTCAGTGCAGATTAAGGGCTAATAAGACAGGCTCCTGCTGTTAGCTTACTCTGAGCCATATGACAGAACTCAGCTGATATCTTCAGGGCAGAGACTAATTCAAAGGGGGTATCTTCTATGTGGGTTTTCATGTATAAATCATTCTATAAACATTTATTACAATGAATAACTCAGGTTAGTTATAACTGGAAGAGGTAATTTTCTTCACTTTTTAAACAACCTCTTACACAACAGAAGTATGCTGTTATGCCTACAGAAGGATGTATGGAATATGTAGGTGCGTAAGAGAGATGGCAGGTAAACCACAGGAGAATGTACTCTCAGCTTGAAAGTAAATTTAGCCATAAAGGGATTTATGACTAGGACAATTACCGTTTCAATATTTAGCATGCCTATCAGTGTTGCACACAGCTTAAAATTTAATCATTGCCGACTACTCCCCAACAGAGCTTGTGAAACAGAAAAGAATCTGGAGACTCGCAGATTGAAAGGACTCAGTCCTGTAAAGTGACTTTCTCAGCAGCTGAGTGCCCAAGAAGGTGTTAGGATTCATACATGCAAAGCTGATTGAAAGGACTGGTAATGCAAGCACAAAACTGTGTGGCGTGCTGGCACTGCCGGACTTGGAAGACACTCGGAAACGGTCCTGTGGTCACAGCTCAGGCGTGCTCACACCGCAGACAGCTACTGGCCCTGTCCAACGCAATTTCTCTGCTTGAATTTTTATCATTTGTCTTTCCTCACAGAACTGAGTCCTAGAAGGATGATTTATGCATATTAAGCTCTCTGGACAGAAAAAGGCCAGCTATTTGCATTCAGAACCTCCTTCTTCCCTTCGCCTAGATTAGCTCTGGGGAATTTAGGCCTGGCAAGCAGCAAAGCCCTGCTACATCAGCACTTCCTCACCGGAGCTCGGTAAGGAAAACCAGAGGGGTACACAGTCATGCTGGATCGTTGTACCAAACAGACCTCAGCCTGCAACACAGAAGCAGACAACTTGTGAAGGAGAGTCACTACCTACTGACGGTTTGGTAAGAAAGGACTAGATAGTTTTCCAGCCGCGTTAGAGGAAAAAAGACCAAGCGTACTTACTGCTGTTAAGACAGATGAGGATTCCGGTTTTGAAACATTGTGGCTGTTGAAAAATATTGATTCTCTGTCTGGAATTAAAAGCAGATTGTAAATAACACTGTAGATTTCAATTTCCCAAGGATTAGTGCGAAGAACAGTAGATGGCACTGCAGCCCCAGCAGTCTAGCCTTGATCCCCCACCAGGCAGTCTCCTGGCACCCACCCCACCCAGAGGCCTCCCCTCCCTGGCACTCAGCTGCCTTCACAGGCAGGGACCCACAGCCGGTCACCCACAGCTTTTGGACCACAGATCAATAGAACTGCACAGGGTTAATACAAACCGGTTTCCTTTCCTTCACCAGAGCCAATTAACTAAGTTCAGTAAGATAATGAAGTTAATTTCTACTGATGTGCTATATTCAAAATGACAGTTCCAATGAAAAGGTGTGTGACACAAGGGAGAGGCTGTGCTCACTGCTGGCAGTAGATCGATAGCACCCAGGGCGCACTGAGATCCTGTGAACCTGGGGAGGGTCCTGCCATTGTGGAGGAGACACACATTTCATGGTCAGGAGCTGCCCTCCTTCCGGAGGCACCACAGGAATGCAGCAGACACTTTGAGGTGACAGAGGCCACCAACATACTGCAGCGGAAACCACGGGGAGCACTGTACCAGCGCCTCTTGCCCTGCTCCTTCTGTGCCGGAGGTTTTACTGGTGGGGAGAAATCCGCCACCACAAGTCTCCCCTTGGGATTCCCATCACAGCAGGCTGCCGGCACCGCACAGACAACCCGCATGGGAACAGCTGGACCGAAGTCTCAGCACGCGGGTGGCACCAGCAGCAGAGTGTTTCTGCTATGCTGGTCTCAGGGTGGACACTTCAGAGCAGCCACAGGGCCACATACAAGTAATGATGGGGGAGCTGTGAAAAGCAAACACAAATCTACTCTGCAGTCTGACACCGCCATATATTCTTCTTGTCTCTCCTCCCACTTCGCAGGTCCCTGTACTTCCAGCTCCTGGAGTGCCTCCCAGCTGCCAGATCTGCTTCACCGTCACATCTGCCTGCGCAAGTGCCCGTAGCAAAGCTCCCTTAAACTCCCCTCATGGGGGTAAGAAAGCCAGACACACCCTAATCTGCTCAAAAAACTTACTTTAATGTGGGTTTCCAGACAACTTTCAAGTCTTGCACTAACAGACGAGACATTAGCCAAGGCATTTTTAGAAAGATGCCTTAAAACATTCCCTTCCAGCAAAAGTATGGGCCAACTGTCCTAATAGTTTACATGAACTCAGATTCTAGCTCACTTAATCTGATCAGGACATAGAGGCAGACCCAAATGTAAACACAGGCATACAGACCTACAGACAGGGACTTTTACTGGGACCCTACTATACATATACTATAAAAGGCGTATTTGTGTGCAGAACACAATGGTGAGCACATATGGACATAATAAAACCAGCAGAAACCACTAAGAAAAGTGACAAGAAAGTGGCACTTGTCCATTCACCTCCTTTAGCTCGGTACCTTCTCACCTCCCATCCCCACCTCCCAGATCTGTCCAGTTGCAGACAGACCATGCTCCCATCCATCCTAACTCCTTTTTGCTTCTAATTGGCTGCAGAATGCAGTTGTCTGGAAAGCAGCCTTTTTTTCCATATAGGAAATGTACATAAACTTTAACAAAAACCCTTCAAGTGCTGCTTTCTAGCGACATACAGGAGGATCACTGTCCCAACTGACAAATCCATTCCTCCTTCCCCCCAACACAGCTCGTATCCACAAACCAAAGGACACTTCCCATCAAGGTTAACAACACTGGGCCTTGCGTGAACTGAGAGGCTCGTTGATGGGAGCGCACAAGTGGTCTTTAAGTTAAACACCCATATATAATCAAGGTAAAAATATGGAGAGGAAGTTCTGAAATGATGGAATCCAGGAAATTCTCTCCAAAGCACATCTATAAACAAACTCCGGAACAAATAACACATGAGCTTACTGTGAAATGAGAGAATTTCTCTCCTTCTCCCCCTTTCCACATGACATAAAACACTTTCTAACAGGTAAGACTCAGGTTACCATTGCATAAATATTTACTGTACAAATGTCATTCGCATGTATTCCAGAGCAGATGAGTTATCTCCCTTCCTACTGAAATAATACAGAGGAGGAAACATGGTATGTAAGAACCAGCTGCTTCCACTTCAGCAGCCTTTTCAAAGACATGCTTGCTGCCAAGGCTCTGAAAACAGACATTTCCTTTTAAATCAGCACAGCGTACCTGAGATTCCCGCAGAGAAGTTCTTTAAAGATGGTCTCTTCACCACTGTGTAGGATTCCCCGACCACGAAGACTTTATACAGCACGGCATTGTGATTGATGAAGCTCTGAATGACGCAAGGGGGGCGAACAGCTTTCAGGCCCTCCTGGTTGAAGATGATCGCCATCTGGAAACATGCACACACAGTTGTGCACAGGTCTTTCCGTAATTTCATGCTTACCCACCACCTGGCCAGCAGTGAGGGGGAACATCCACTGGTGGATATGTATCAACCACATGTGAATTCCTTCTCAGCAGCTAGCCCTATTTCATTATGTTTTACACAGCTCGCCAAACACTACTAGCAGCGTGGCTTTCATTTTCAATCAACATCACCTCAGCTCTTTGCAATTTCATTTGCTGCTTTTAATTGGAAACCTACTGCAATTTCAGGTACAACAAAAGGGTAAAACATCGGACCAACACAGGCGACAAGAGTCTGTATTGAATACAAGCGTGCACGGTGAGAACAACAGAAGGAACAGCTCCGTGTGCTAACGATACGAGTTCTTCCCTGCAGCTCTGTTTCCCGTGGTTTGCTTCAGGCCAGTTGCAATGGCCTAAAGCACCAGGGCTTCACCTACACCATCAGAGAACTTTTTTCAGACTACAGGAGTTCTTACTGCTAGGAAATGCCAGCCCAGTGATTTTCTTGGCTTGGTTTCACCCACTACCTCAAATAGGTAGACCTCTTGATGGGACTGGAACAGACAGACCAAAAAGGAAGGCATTTACAGGGCTTGAATGATGAACAACATTGCCTTCAAATAGCATGGGAGACATGCTGGTAGGTGCACAGTAGTACTCTGACAAGCCAGCATATCTTTAGCACGTGTTACACTGCTCTTTCCATCAACCCCTCCTTTACCATGCTTACACGTGGCTATAATTATCATAACCGCGATGTCCCATGTTGCAGGTTTGTCGCTGGAGCATGGATGCTGCCAGCGCAGAATGTGCAGCAAGCACTGTTCTGGCACAGGTGAAGAAATTACTTCACACCAGTGTGCCCCTACAGAGCAGTGAGGATAAACTCAGGTTTGCTCTCTATCCTCAAAGCCACAAAAAACCTAAGCTTTAGTTATCGGAATATTGACACCTCTTCGTTACTCCAGTGATGCCAGGCCTTGTTATCCACATGGCAGGAGACTGCTGAAGGCCAGAGAACCTGGCGTTCATTTTATCTTCCTTTCCCTCCCAGAGGTAGGCATGCTTTGGTTAGAGCACCTTCCCCCTCTGAAGAGCCTTAAAGACAACAGCTAACCATCCATGTCTTGAGCCTGCTGCCTACCTCAGTCGGTGCAAGAGGCACAACACTTACCAGAAAAGTTCTCAAGCTCTGAAACACAAGTTTTTTCTTATGCCTGCTACTATTTTCTCACTGACCTGCTTGGGCCTGTTGTGGAGTAAAACAAGGATGCAAGACAGTCCAGAGAAGCAAAGAGAACTCCTCTGTGACTCCACAGCGATTCACAGAATAAAATTGGAACTTCCTGCCTCACCATGGTGCAGAGGAGTTACACTGGTCCATATGCTTCCTGTCAGTTTTTGTACTTTCTGGGATTAGCTGTATCTTAGTGAAGTCAGGGTCACTAGAAGGATTTTACAAAGAAACTTTACCACTTTGCGCTCTCGCTCTTACAGTATAAATCATCAGCTGTTCATTTGATGCATACTGTACTTTCAGACTGATTTTTTACTAATACCTTAGTTTGTTCCTGTAATAAAAACAGTAATTATAATAGGTTTGGTTGTTCAAAAACATAGCCATGGTAAATTATACAGTGATTACATATTCATAGTTAAAAGTCTGAGCACGTTTTTGTCCTTATTCCTGCTTATCTGGTAGACCACATTAGAACACCAAATTGCCCACAGAGTGCACAATGACTCAGCAGATTAACATTTTCTGAGTTCAAGCCAATGCGTGCATTCAAAACCTACTCGCAGTTGATATTCTTACTCTGTCTCCATTGTACGAGGTGCTATCTACCTGACAGCACCGAGTAAATCTGTGAGTGGTAACCACCCGTGCAAGAAACCTACTCTAACCAGCAGAATCATCCATCAAGATGATTCACAGCAACAACAACGTCATAGCTCATTTGCCTCACATTGGTGGCTAGAAACACTGCTCTCTTCCTCCTCCTGTGTAGGCATTATAGTATCTGTAACATTATACTGGCAAGAACTGTGCTGTTCCTAGAGTGTTCTCTTCAAATGTTAATTAATCCCCACAAACAAATGTAAGATGAGCAGGTACTTAGCATTATATTTTAGAAGCGTTCAAACCCAGATAGTTCATCTTCTCAGCTCAGAACTGACAGAGGCTACTGGGAACTGTGTGAAACTTTTGCAAAGCTCTGTGCTGACAGCCCATGAACTAGCTCACAACCCATCTAACTCCCAGGGTGCTGCGTGAAGCTGGTTGACTGAGATGTCCCATGGTTTTTAGCACACATGAATACAGCTCCAAGAATTCACTTGCCTGCACCTTCAGCTGCCGCTGCTAGCCAGTACTTGAACTTTCTGAATAGTCATGAAGAAAAGCAGGTTTCTAGTCAGGCTGTGTTACAGTTCTGCAGTGGGAATATCTCTACAGAAAATGAAGCGATTTACTAGAAGCCAAAGAAGGAGTCATTAATAAAACAGGCAACAACTTCTTGCTTCTAGACCTATGCTCCATCTTTTGGACAGACTGTCCTGTAGGAAGAGTATTTATTCTGTGCTTCCCTTGCCACTACTGACCATAAAATAGCAATTACAAGACAGCTCCTCTCTGATCATAAATACACTTTTGGATCAATCTTGATAACTCAGCAACTCCAAAAGTGACTATTACTACTAACTATGTAAAGCACCACGCAAGACTTCAGGCTTTTTTCCAGGGGTCCTCCTAGGCTCTAGTCATAAGTTCCTATGATAAAGTGCAGTCTACAACTGTATTTTAGTCTAAATTTTGCACAGAAAATGGAATTCTGGCAGGAGGCTGAGGTATGCACTGTATGAAAGAAGAGCAAAGAAAGATTCACTAGGGAAATGAAGTCCAAGCCTGACTGGACAAGCACTGAAAGGTTCAGGCATTTCAGGCTGCTGTTGCAGAGGAACTTTTGATAGAAAAATCAGCAGGGAAGCTGGAGTCTTAGACTCTTTAACAATCCAGTCCTCAAGTGTTCTCGGGAATGACAGCAAAAATTTATAGCGGCTGCTCCAGCAAACTAACAGGAGTGTCTGTCAGCTTGTGAAATGATCCAAGCTAAGGCCCACATGAAAAATCTCAGTGCATTTTCAAAAGGAAGTGCTGGTCACTCAAGATTCCAGCCATAGCCATTCTGCTCGTCTAGATTTATGTTTTATTTCAGGGCCTTCAGCTCTCAGAGACGCTGCAGCAACATACCGCATGTTTTGGGAGCAGCTGGGAAACCTGGACCGACGACCACATTGTTAACAAAGGAAGCCAGGCGTTAGGAGCGCCAGCAGCGAGGGCTGGATTCTCAAAACTGAGCTGCGGTAAGCAGGAAGGCAGGAAGCACAAATGGAAAAGAATTAAAACAGGACTCAACTCATCTAAATTTAGAGGAAGCTAGACTCACAGGGAATGCAGTCCTTCCAGGAATACACAACAGTTTTAACTGCAATAGCCTTACGGGAAGGAGGGAAGGCAGATAGTTCTACCATCCCTGTTCTCCGCACAGCTCCAACTGTGTTATTACAACTGAACATGCCTGGAAACCATCCCTGCTTGCTATTCCCTTCCTCTCAAGGAGAGGAACCAGCTGCTTCATCTGCAGCACAAAAGACTTTCTCACCTGTACCGAGTACATGTTGGAAGAGAACACTGGGTGGAAACATCACCTAGTGTGACCTCCCACCAAAGGAGAGGCTGAGGGAGATTCCTGGCAGGCAGAGCTGACTGGAGACTACAAACTGCTAGAAGCAACTAGATGACAGAAGCTAGAAAGTGCTAGAAAGAACTTCCATGTCAAAAGGTTGAAGTCATATTTAACTTCATTTCAGATAAATCTGAAAAAATAATAGTATAATAGTGTTATTAAACATGAGGGAGAGATGGGGGAGTGGAAGTCATTTGGGCATAGCTCTCATTCTGCCTACCACAAGGTCAGAAAGCACCAGCCAAACTGCCATGGGGGACTGGAAGCAGGGGGTAACTCTGCAAAAGTTATTTAACTCACCTCATGAGAGTTGGTTCCATGGGCCACTCTGGTTTTGCAAACTGGGTAAATAAAAAAGAAAAAAAACAATGCACCACTGAAACAGGACACACAAACCCTTATTCATCCGTTCCCACCCACACGTGCAAACACTGGAGTTCACCAGAACAAGGCACTGACTGTACCTAATACCAGTGACAGTCCCTGCTTGAACCGTATCCTCAACCACTGCAAAGCTTGGCTTGCTCTAAGCCCTACTCTCTCAGCTCCTCCCTGTACCTGAGGTGCAAGCACAGGTCACACTGAGGACTGGAGAGAGGTCCAAAGTGTCAGCTAAGAAGTTAGTACCAGTACTGGTACTGCCATCCTGCCTACTCAGAGGGCATCTTCACAAGTATGTGCTTTTGCCTGAGGCTGGTACCACGAAACACCACTGTCCTGAAAACAAGTGAACCGGACACAGTGGAAACCAACTTCTTGGTTGGTGGAAACCAACCTATCTCTGTATTTCTGGGGAAGAGCAGGAAACCGAATGGGCTGAAACAAAGAAAGATATAACACACTTTTTGCAGGCAACCATGGGGGGGCGCAAAAAAAGCAGAAAGAGCCCAACACTACTTCTTTCTCCTCCATATTCCTTATCTGTTCTGTATACCCTGGTTCTCACCTCCATCCTAAAACCAGTAAGAGGAAAGGAACAACATGCTCCTGCTATTATGAAAGCAGAGAAGAGCTGAAGATGCCGGGACCCACACGATGACTAGAGCTGATGTTATTTATATGTTAAGCAGAGGAGATGAAAACTTACAAGTAGTGAGGGGGTGGATAGGACAAGACTTCTTTGGGAGTTGCTGGAAGAGTCAAATTGCCAGGCAAGAGGACAGGCAGCTATGAAAGGCAGATTACTTGCACCAGAGTCCAAAAGAAGTTGGTAATTTGAAATTCTGGAAAGTGGTACGTGATGTCTCACAGACACATGGTCTGGAGAGCAGAAATGTATTTAAGAAAAATAAGAGAAAGAGGAGAGAGAAAAAGCACTCTCCCAATACCATGTTATATTAATTTTCAGTGTTATTTTTTTATTTCATCATCATCTAGAGGGATTGATTCAGGCCTTCTGAATACATGGGCTATGCAATAGCCAGTGTGTATTGAGAGGACAATGTGCACGGGTGAGGAAGGGGGGTCAGCCATTCAGTGGGCTTTAAATCACAATTTAGCTTCAGACCTGCCTCATTTGGGACAGCGATGGCAGGGAGGGCAAAACATGCTTTTTCCACACGACTTTACCTCTGAACCTTACAAACGAGGCAAGCACCAAGGGAACAAACACCGACTAACCGATGCTGCTCCCATTTTACTGCAAGGAATCAAATAAAGCAACGAATTAAAGCACAAGCCCAACAGTGAAACTTGCTACAAAGCACAAACAGTTCATAGCAGCTGTTTGAGGCTGTGGGCCCTCGGAGCTGGCTATCTGTGGTAATTTCTACACTCTAAGATTCTATTTGTAGCCTGGACCGGGGAAAGAGAGGGGTAGGTGAAAAAAGAGGGCAGTCAGCAAGGCAGTGATTTTCTCAAGAAAAATAATGAACGCAGCTGGCAGGAGAAACTTATTGCACAACTTCAGGGCAAGAGGCTAACTTTGTTAGAACTATTAGCACCTCCCAGGAACTCATGTTTACTGTAGCGAGGTGTTTAAAGTAAGGAACATCAATAAAAGGCAAAGTTAAAGCTGATAGGGAGGGGTTTTGTTCCATATTCCGAGCAGACTGCTTCAGAGCATTTGTTTCAAGAAGGTTTTTAACATTCCTGACTTTTGGCAATGAAACCTACACTCCTACAGTGTTGGCTAAATGGGGGATGCATGTGCAATATTCAGAACCTACTAGAAGCACCAAGGACAAGCCCATGTACATACTGAATGGGAATGCCAGTCCATTCTTCTCTATAAGCTGCAAGGTGTCTTCTCCACAGGCACTTGTCAGCTCCATAAATGGTGGTGAACAGATCCGCTCATCTGCAAGACAAAAAGAAAAAAAAAAGAAGACTCAAATGGAGATGAGGAGTTTAGCTTCTCAACTGCATCATGACCAGCTCTCTCCATACTAACTGCCTCTTGACAGTCAGCTTTGCTTTAACAGTTGACATTAAAGCACCAGAAGGATTATCAGCCAGGCCTGCATTTGGGTTTCTGGAAACATTTTGGAAGATGAAAGGCTCAATTTTCAGATACTCTAAATGGAAATATGAAGCCCATATTTTCATAGTTAGGCAGCAAAAACGATCACCCTGCTTAGGAATACGTAGCTGCACATGACTTAGTCTGTGAGGTGAAAACAATTGGGATCTTAGCTCTTAACATCATGCCTTAAGCATAATCTTCTAAAGCATTTACAAAAAACAGACTGGTCAGAAGTGCAGCTGAAGCTGCCAGTCTCACAAAGCCGTCATTACTGCAGGGCCCTCAGGCAGCAGATTCCAGCGTGGATGTACTTCAGCCCAAGTGCCAGCCATGGACTACATCCCACTGTCCATAGGGACCTCTCTGCCATGAAGGCAGTGCTCATGTGGTCAGATAAAGCCAGTCAGAGCACCGCTGAGACAATGAGGCACCTTGGCAAGACTGCAGTGGTTAAAGAAAGAAACACAGGAACCATGATGAAGTTTAACAGAGCAGGTCTGCTCCAGGGTGTTTCTGCTGAGGTTGTGCTTGTTCCCATGGTTGTGGGGTAGGCTGGAGTCAACACCCAGCCCTTTTAGTGTCTCAGTAGGTTTAATTGCTCTAGGATTCATGTTCTGTTCACTGCAGAACTTTGATTCCCTTAGGAGGACAGGGGGACTCAAAGTACTTGAGCATAAATCACCACCCAAGAGGGCTGGGTTGCAATTTCAAGTGCCAAGAGAACCCTGGCCTCAGCCACGGCTCTGGGACAGGTCAGCAGGCCCGAAGGCTTTCAGACAGAAGTCATGCACACACTGGCAAAGCCAAAGCTAGTACATCACCTAAGTAAGAGCAACTAACCAACTTAACTCCCCTGTGAGCATAGACTTAAAAGCACTGCCTCCACAGAACCTTAGCTATGGCCAGGTTAACTCTGGCGTCACAAATGAGTTGTAGCTCAAGTTAGCTGTGCAGTACTGAACTGCAATTCAGAATGGGTCTGCCAAAACTCACTTCTAAGACTTAATTCAAGAGAAATAGCGTGATACCTTCCTCCAAGAAGCAACTGGAATCCAGCACAAATGATGGGAGCAACTTTACCTAGCAAACTCAGGCACAGGTTTATGTCAACCAGCAACTGGTCTTGAAAAGAAGCAAAACTTGACTGTTACTGCCATCCACATCTATCCCAGCAAACACAGAAAATCCAAACAGGTGGAGGCTATGCTGTGCAGATGGTTCCGAAACTGAAAAGTGCATATAACCCAAACCCCAGCATAACCAACTGTACACTCTGAGCACCTTTCATCCAGAAACCACTTTATAAGCATTGTTTAGATTAATGCTTTTCACTCATTTCACGTATACGTTTATGCACGTTTCCTCACACAGCAGAGAAAATTGAATCACTGAAAATAACAGGGAGACAAAACCCTCTGTATTTCAGTGTACATCTCTCAATACACGCTTCACACTCCAAGAATATCTGAGAACTCCAGACACTAGCAAAACTGTTGCTACAACAAGCTTTCTGTGAAAAGAAAAGACTATTTTCATAGAGCCTAAAAGGAGCAGAAAGATTGATTCTTTGAGGTCAACCTCTACAAAGCTAAACAAAACATCCCAGACTTCAAAGCTTTCAGTTTGCTGCTATGAAAACAGAAAACAGCATCCAAAAGTGACAGGTACTGTAATATTTACAAGCCTTTGCCAGAGCAAAAGTTCCTTAGTTGGATGAATTTAAGGAATCGGACTTAGTTTACAGATACTTGGAAACAACTTTGGCTTGGCAGCTCTCCCACCCATATGCTTAAGGCTCACAAATAACTTTGCCTTCAGAGTGCAGATGCAAGGGGACGTATGGTTCCATCTCACTTCGTTTCTCTCCCATGCAAACAGAAACGGGAGACAGGGAGGATTCAGCGTCCCTGACGATTACATGACACTTGCATGGGGAGATGAAGGAAGGGGCAAACAGTAGTTTCTTTGACCTTATACTCAGAAAAGACCACCTGGATCAACATAAAGTAGCAGAGGAAACCCTTAGCATCTCAAAGTGCTCCTGCTGACTTTGCACAGCCCTGGCATTTTCTCCACCAAGAGGCAATTCTAGCACACTGAAACCTCTAAACCAAGGGCTTTCATTCGCAACCAGATTGAGGACAAATAAACCCTCGTTCAACACAAGATTCGGTACGGCCTACAGCTAGAAAGCTGCTGCTCTGAGTTTAACTGCACACACTGCAGTTCTGAAGGTAGCTGCAGGTTTTAAAAAAAAAAAAAAAAAGTCCTCCAGCTGCCAGCCATGATCCTCTCCTCCTTCCGGCGGGGGGGGAAACACATACAGAAACTTCCTTTCATCACCAAGCTCCTGCTACCAGAGTGACAGCAGCCTTGGCACACCTCTGCTCTGAGGTCCAGCACAGACCTAATTCAGTGGCTGAGGGTCAATCTCAGTGCTGTTTTACATCAGCATGGAACTACACCATACAACCCACAGAGCGCCAACGGACACCCAGTGATACATTCAACCCCTTCCTCTCCTCCTGTGGAGGTACGCTGCTTTAGCAGGATCTTACTGAGCTGCAGTCAGGCACAGGACCCTTACCCACTGCTTCTTCACAAACCGGTAGTGACCAGTCACCACGGGAAGCCACTGCCAAAAAGGACAACCATAAATATACAAAGAAACAAACTTAACAGTCCAGAGGTGAGAATGGGTGACATGACCCTTCATATTGACGCTACAGCCTAAAACCAGGCGATATTCTCATTTGCATCAGAGAGCCCAAGTGTGGATGAAGCACTTCCATAAGCCATGGCACGCCTCCCACGGAGCTGCATTAGCCGTGCACCGCTCGCAGAACTGACTCTGTCAGGACACAGAGCTGATAGAACACACAACCTGCGCAAGGAGCCAACGCTGTTGCTCTTCTACCATCGGTACTCAGCTCCTAGCTGTGCGTTGGGATGCCGCTGCATGAAAGAGATGACTTCTAAAACAGCAAGCTTGGAAAAGACTGCCACACCTGACATCCTTGGCTACGCTTAGCTCCCGAAAGATTTTTACAAATGCAATTTCTGTGCTTTTTACTTTGGATCTGCAACCAAAAGTCAGACACTTCCTCCCTCCCGTTGGGTACATAGATTGAATGACAGGATAAATAGATAACCAGTAACTATAAGCCCTATCTTCATTCAGCCTTTACTGAACCAAAGAGATCAGCAGGAAAAATCTCTCCATAAGTCAAAGGACTGCTGTGATGTAAGAAGCTGTGCAGTTTTATAGGGCATGCTTAGGGAGTGGTATTCCTTTCTTTTTCTAAGTGTCTGGTAGTCTCTCAGACCTGCCTCTGAAACACATGCAGGACTCCAGGTGGACCATGTCAGGTCCAGAACTGCCAACAAGGAAACAACAAGAAAAGGCTCTTCAGATCAGTAGAGGGTTCAGCTCTCACTTCAGATATGTACCAAAAGTATCTGTAATGTTTTTGTTGTTAGAAATAACACATCATAATTAAATTTAAAAGTAAAAATGCTGTCACTGTGTTCCTCCCACATCTTTGTCCTCGTTCTTAATGTATGCTTTGGCACAAACTTTGTGGTGTCTGCTTTCTGCATTTTCCTTATTCTCCCTTTTCTTCAAGATTATCTGAGCTCACAGGGAGCTCCCCTCTCTCCTCTTTTTTACTTCCTGCATTTTTTCTCACCCCCATCCCTATTTTTTCTCTATGCTTGTCTGTTTTTCAATTGTCATTTCTGTTCTTCTACTGCTACCTACACTTCACCCCTCCATCACCCTTGAAGGGAGGCCACGTCTGGGATCGCGTTCATTGCCAACACGGGGAGCGCCTGCATTAGGACCTCTGAAGACAGCAGGGAAGCTGGCACTAACCAGTCACAGGTGACAGGCAGCAATCACCTCCCTCCGCACAGCATCCAGGCACTCAGCTCTGGCACGTCCTGCTCCGGGGTGAGCTTTGCAGAGCACCGCTCCATTCCCACAGAGCAGCAATGTGGTTACGAAGGTGGGAAACATGACTAACGAAGGCCAGTTTACAGGAGGAGTAACACAGCTAATCAGCAGGAGAGGTGAAAGAGTACTCAGACCAGGGTGTTGGTGCCAAGGAGGGGATTGTTCCAGATGAAGTTCAACAACAGTGACAGGAGCAATGGGATGTGAAGGTGGGGAAGATGCAGACTAAATACTTGGCTGGGAAAAAATGTTCTCTGGCAGTGAGAATTGGTGGAAATCTTTCTGCCTGGGACTTGCTTCAGTAAGAGATGTTGAGCAGTGCTCCTCTAGCCAAAGCCTGTGCACGACTGGCCAAGCTGGATGAGATTTTGAGCTTCAACAACAGTGACAGGAGCAATGGGATGTGAAGGTGGGGAAGATGCAGACTAAATACTTGGCTGGGAAAAAATGTTCTCTGGCAGTGAGAATTGGTGGAAATCTTTCTGCCTGGGACTTGCTTCAGTAAGAGATGTTGAGCAGTGCTCCTCTAGCCAAAGCCTGTGCACGACTGGCCAAGCTGGATGAGATTTTGAGCAACCTGGTCTGGCCTGTGCATGACTGGCCAAGCTGGATGAGGCTTTGAGCAACCTGGTCTAGTGGAAGGTGTCCCTGCCCATGGCAAGGGGGTTGGAACTAGATGATCTTTAAGGTCCCTTCCAACCCAAACCCTTCTATGATGTTTCCAGTTAAACCAAATCTTAGGTGGTTTACACACAGAAGGCAAAGGGAGCCCCAAATGAGGGGCATGCTGAGGAGAAGGGAAGGGTAATAGAAGTTGGTACAGTGAATTTTTAACACAGGTGGAGGAAGGATGTGGTCTATCAAAGGAGCAGAGAGGAGG